GCACAAATCTCCTCTGCCCACTCTAGATGTTGCACTTTCAGAGCTTATAGCTTAAGAGATTCGTCTGCGAGTCCTGGGTTCCTCCCGTTCTGCTAAGTCAGCTACTGTGCTTGCTGCTTCTGGCTTCAGAGGAGAAAGGGCAAAGCTTACCTTTTGGTTGACCATCTTCCAATCCCGGATTCTTAGTAAAGTAAGTAAGAAAAGTGATCCTCCCGCGACTTCTGTTAGTCCAAGATCTCCCGTCATCCCGAAGTTTAGCTCTATTAACTAACATAGACCCTCCCGGCCCGCTTTGCTCCGACTAAAGGTATCCGGAACTTCTCAGTCTACCCTGCCATTCTCTCTATCTATGATATTAGTCAAGCCTAAACACCCTTTCGTTTTCACTCGATCTTGAGATTGGTTGAGCATCTTCATCCCGTTACTTGTACCCATTTTGCTCTCTGCGTAGCCCCTTCGGAACCTTCTCCTTCTAGTGCCCTCGTTCTCTTCTCCTGCAAAAAATTGAGTGACTTCACTTCTCAATAGAGTGAGACCCGGCCCTTCTACTTCTCAGTCTTTTTACCTCTCCTTGTCAATTGAGCTAAGCTAGTTCGAACCCGTATGTCAGCAACCCCTTCTTTCACAAGGGATTTGTCCTACTCCTACTGCCTGGAAGAGTTCTTTCTTACCTCTCCTTTGGGTCCTGGATAGCTTCGGTGACTGGACTTCTCATCCTTCTGCTTCTGTCCTGAGTTCCAATCAAAATTGGGGACAAGCACTACCGTGAAAAGGTCCGGTCTCGTACTAAAACAGACTTTTTGATTCCAACGCACTTCACTCTTGGCCAGACGCCAGCGACGAATGGCGTCAATAGTCGCATAGAGCCTTTCAAGGGCAACCTTTGGGAAGAGCAAGGTCTTGTAGAAGTTATTCGCCTTAGCACCCCCCGAATTCCTTTCAACCCCAATATTTACAGGGGCTTGGGTCTGGTCTACTACCAGCAAGGCCCTCTATTTCCCAGTCTGCATCATGAGCCCACCAACACTGCTCCATCTTGCAGCTCTAATGGGTTTAAAGCCTCCCGCTACCGGGGATCTCAAGATTCCTCCTTTCGATTTCTCTTGGCATAGAGGGAAGAACAAGACCAAACGGCAGGCTGGTTTTAAGACTTTCCTTACTAAAGCCATTAAGAACTCTGAGGATAAAGAGAGTATGTGAATTTCTTCGGGATCGGGCAACTCCTTCACTTACACCTTCTCCTGAGGATGTTCCAGTGAGAGATTTACAAAACATATTCGTCCGTCCTTATTTTGATCGAGTTCGGGAGGGAACCTCCTATCGACTCTAACACATATCCGAACAGGTCGGGTACAATATACCTTTTTTACCAAACATTGGTAAAGAAGACCAATACCCCTGTCAGTTAGGGCCGGTTGGCCTATAATCTTTCTTTCTTATCTGTTTACGTCGACTATTCACGAACTCTTGCCAGAGCCTTCAATTCAGAAGTTGTATCAATTTAGAAAACATAGTCTAGTCATACGTCTATGCCCCTTGTAATTCATTCTTATACTCATCCGGTTTCGCATCTACATCTTGAGAATCCAATGGCTTCCACGCAGTATTCTTTGTCTTCAACGGATTTAGATTCCAACTTTTGTCTTCGGATTCCCATCTAGGTTAGATTATGCTTTTCACTCTACTTGTGATATTCGTTTTGTCTTTCTCGTCTCGTATGATTAATAATAAAGGGCAGTCTCGCCAGAAATCTCTTCTGGTCAGACACAAGAAAAGGAATAATAGTTGGTACGGCCAAGAGCCCTTGTAACTGTCACTAGTTGTCTTCTCTCTATCTTGTTACTGGTCTCCGGTCTCCTCTATTCTTATAGAATAAGTCTCTAAGCTTCCCCCTTAGTGCCTGCTGAGACTTATTTCCTCTCGACTATAGTTGAATGGAAGTTTCATTTCCTAAGTATCAAAAAATTTTACTTATTGAGTCCCCATAGTGCATTCCCCTACATAGTCTGTAGAGTCATTTTTCACTAATAAGGATTGCAATCAATATCAAAAAGAGAATTCCAGATTGAAGATCTCTTGACCCATATACGATCCAGTTCTACATCTTAGCGCTGAACTAATGAATAGAGATTGAGCTTCGCGAGTCGGGAATTTCATCATTTAGTTAAAACTGCTAGCGTTGACAAGAGATGAGCTAAAGAGGGGCAGTTGACCAGGCCCTACCACATACAGACAGCAAGCAAGAGCTGCGCCGGCAAGCAAGCCGTTGATTCTGGAATAATGAATAAGGAATAGGGGCCGCATCGATCGAGGAAGTCTGGACAGCTAAATAAACGGATCCGTCTTCCTTCCTTTCCTCGGAGCTGTCCCTAACCTAGCAACGGTCGTAGCTGATCCAGTGAAATGAATAGAAGGTTAATAAGCCGATCTTACCAGAGCAAGTTAAGAAGTGCTAGGGGATGGAATGTGCACAATCTAAAGATTGATGAAGGCCTCTCCTATTCGACGAATGAAAGAAAAATTCACTGCTGCAGGCGGAGCAGCGAAGCTTCGTAGACAAGGCGGCTCACCCCATCCCTGTTGTAGTTATGTCGGAGTTAGATGCATTAAATCATGTTGCTAAGGATTGGCACGAAAAACCTATTTTGGGGCAGCTGTCAGTTCAAGCAGAAACCAAGTGAGACCGAGTTGGCCCGCTCTTGATGTTGATGGAGGAATGAGAACTGCTAATGGACTGCCAGGATTCGAAATAGCTATCAGTTCAAGCTTTGGCAAAGCAGATAGGGCTAGCGAACGAGGGGAAAAAGAAAAGAAGCTCTTGTATGATAAAGCAAGTCAGCTGCTTCGGTACGCAAGCCTGCCAGCAAGCATTCTCGATTGAAGCACGAAAGAGACTTTTTTCGATTCAATGTGGGGGGTAGGAGACCCCAGAGAGCATATTCTGAACTTCGAAGCCCTGTAGACTGCAAGGAACGACTTCTATCTTCTTAAGCAGTTTCCATTAAGCCTCACAGGGGCTGCCCTAAGTTGGTTCACAGATATTCCTCCAAACTCCATACACAGTTGCTTAAGGTCTTTTACGAAAACTTCTACGAATCAGTAAGAAAACATACCTTCGCAGAGTTGGCAGCAACTAATATAAAGCCTGATGAGAGCTTCGACGATTTCTTCCAAAGGTGGAGAGTAAAAGCATGCGAAAAGAGGCTGACGGAGAAGGAGATGATCGAGCTATGCATAGATTGCCTTCAGCGCGACCTGAGAGAAAAAATGTACTTGGCCAAGCCAAAGACCGTTAAGGGTTGTGATCAAGAGATGCGCATGTGAGGCCGGGTGACACACTTGATTACGGGTTATTCTATTCAGCTTCTAATAAGTTCAAACTTTTGGGTTATTTTGATAGTGATTGGGCTGGAGACTTGGATGATAGAAAAAGTACTACTGGCTTTCTTTTCTATCTTGTAAATACTGCTTTAACATGGAGTTCCAAGAAAGAACCGATTGTGACGCTTTCTACATGTGAAGCTGAGTATGTTGCATCGTGTGCTTGTCATGCAATCTGGCTTAGAAATTGAATAAAGGCAAGGGAAAGATGGGGCATGATGAGGTCCCTCCTGGACCTCTCCAGGGGAGAATGGGTACTAGTACAAGACAAGTCAGCAAAGTGGATATTCAACGTACGTCCAAGAATGGCCTTGCCGCCATTCCTCAGCAAGACCTAATTTCAAGTTCAGCCCAAAGTCAATCTGTCTTCGGCTATCCAGCAAGCAGCTGGAACCGGATTGCCATACTCATTGGCTTCACTGAACTATCAATACATCTTACACTTATTGGCTAGCTTGAGGCCTGCCTACTTGCCATTTGAAAAAGAGCTTCCTACTTACTCGCTTGCCCGGGAAGACAACCAGCTATCCCGCCCCCCTTATCGTTAGAGGTGAAAGGATGGGTTTCCAAGGTCTTCGTTCGAAGGTATTAGATAAGATGGTTCGGGTCCAGGTTCATAGATTGCAGGAGATGGCTCACTGTTCTTATTCTTATACCTAAAAAGGTCGGATCGAGGGACAGAAAGAACTTCATCGATAGCATGGGGTCATTCCATTCGATCGATCAAGAGCAGAGCAGAAACAGGAGCAGGAGAGCTTGGACTTTGGAGCTTCTATGGTTTAAGGTACGAGAAAAAAGTAAAAAAGAGATGCCCTACTCTCCAGTAGGGTTTTCAAAATTTGTTAAGGAACAGATTCCCCCCAAGACAGCGAACCGACTTCCCATCCCCCGGCTTAAGAATACTCCATTTTACTTCCGTATTTGTAAGGGAATTTTTCAAGAGATCTTCTTCTTTGATCTTGATTTCAGTTCCGATTGGAACAAGCAGTTGAGAATCGCACGAAGGTACAGTTGGGAAGCTTAGAAAGGAGATTTCTGTCCAAAAAGAAATTAAATAAAACCGGACGAAGAAATCGGACGGGCGGTATTCCTCCGGCCCGGTTTTCCCCTTTCTTGTCCAGTATAGGCGAATTCAGAAAGCTATCGATTAGATTTATAATGAATAAATCATCTATAAGCGGCTTTTGAACAAAATAAAGCCGCTTTCTACAAAGAATCTTTTTGAAGATTGAAAAATCTATAACAAGTAGTAACCTCAGATTGGACCAATTTGTTATCTCAGCCAAAAAGAGTTTTGAATTCGTATCTGGCCGGCAGGCGAATGACTGTGTAACAAAGACATTTGGAGTGAAGACGTCTTTTGTTAGTGTACTTGCAAGTGAGATGAGAACGAGCTCATCCTCCAGTTTGAGACAAAGATAGAATTCATAGAGTTCTCGATCAAAGTCTGCGAGAGTTTCAAACCGAAAAAAAGTAATTTGGTCCATCTTAAAAGGAAAGCCCCTTAGTTCCGACTTTATCCAAAAAGGGGAGAGCCTATAAGAACCAGCAAGAATTTCTTTTTCAATTCTTAACAGATCTACTCTTTGATAGATATATATTTCCGTGCCGTCTCTTGGATTTCCAAGAGAAGACATTGTCGTAAAAGTCAAGTAGACATAGAATTGGAAACACTAGTGAGAAATTCAAATGAGAAATCGAACCGGATTCTCAAATCTCTCTCGACGCCTAGAATTTTGTCTAGGTCGATCAGAGAGTCGACTTGCCTGTGTTAAGCATATAGCCTAACTAGGATGATTGGGCCCCGCAGTGGTAGAACCTAGTGAACCAGGCGTACTACTTGACCCCAGGGCATTAATAAAAAAATCCGGCTTCCCTCAATACAGCAAACAAGGGCGTTTAGTAATTTAACCTACCGCCTTATCTATCTCTACTAAAAAACTTCTGTCACCCGATGGAATCTCGACTTGGGTGAGTGCGGAACGTGCCTCAATAGCCCCGCGGCATTTTCTCGATCAAGATGAGGTATAGTGACGTCCAGGGCCACTAGTTAGCCTGAGTACTAGCCGTGGTGCTTGCTAGCCATCGTGGGTGGACCGCTTAGCCTGAGCCAAGGGGCCATACCGTACACTTAACAAGGGAGCCACTCTGCCAGAGCGTGTTAAGCCCGAAATTCAACAGTTTTCTTTTATGAAGGGGTTATTTCATAAAGAGTGTTGATTCGGAAATCTTTCTTCTTTCATTCTGGAAGAAGGGATTGGCGAGGTGTGCAGTAGGGGAAACGGTGAATGATGGGGGTTGGTTGGAACCAGCTCGGCTACTTGACTTCTTGCCGTTTCATCAAATGAGTGAAATAAAGAAAATGATGAAGTCTCGTTCATATCTTCACTCGGTTGGAGTATTGCCCCGAGTGCGGAGCAAGATTGAAAGCATTCAGGGATCTCGAGTAGATCTCCTTTCGGGTGGGCATTTCCATATGGATCTGTTAGTCCTGTTTATCTTTGAATAAGGGCATAGCGAGCCAAAGCAGCTTGGGGATCAAGAGGCTTGGATCATTCAACCAACTCTGTCCGTGCCGTGCTCGCTCACCCCCAAGATGCAAGGTAGACTTGCAGTAAAGCTTCATGTCTAAAGAAGGGGGGCCAGCCAAAGAACCAGAAGGCGTGTTTCGAATAGATTCATTTTTTTCTTAAAAAGTAACCTTACTTAGTCAATAGGAATGGAAACTGGTATTTGCGGAAGCGCTGTCCACCACGATTCCATTCTGATTCAAACCTTTCTAGTTAAGGAATGGATAATTTAGCACCGGATGCAGATGGAATGGAACAGATCGGCAACCGCATTAACAACCCTTTCAGCATGCAACCCAGCGCAGTAGGAAGGTTGTAGCAGCACAAGCTGAAAGCTGCTCGTAGTAATCGTGCGGGTTAACGCGACAATCAATAGAACATCACATGAATCTCTTTGTGGATCACTTTTCCTAGTCGCATAACAAAAGAAGAGGAGTCCTGACTACTGAGCATGCAATAAAGTGCTTTCAAGGCTCTTTCGCACACATCCGATATCGGTTTCCTTCCTCGACTGCACACACACGGCTAGTCGAAATGTGTAATGACAACGAAAAGACTGAAAGCTTTCCCGCTATTGCCTTTAACGAGCTAAGAGCCAGTGCTGCCCTCTTGTTTGCTAAGCCCTTCGAGGCTGTCTCTCTTCTAGTGATAAGATAAGCGAAGCTAGTTCCAGTATAAATAGGAGCAGTTTCTCTTAATTCCCTTCCTTCTGCATCGCGTTACAATCCTTATGCAAGCCAGTCCGCCCCTAGTAATATATTTTTTCCAGGATATAGCTAGGGCTAACTGCTTTCCATGTCTCCGGGGCTTTCGTTTGAGTTGGAGGTCCAGTTGGAGTTGTATCACTATTTGCTGTCGATCCCGGCTAGCCATTGGTTCTTTCTGACTCTATCTTTTCACGGTAGTGCTTCTCCTCTTAGGAAAGCGAGCAGGCAAGTTCTAAAAAGTTCCAGCCAGCAAGCAGGGTAAAAGGATGGGGCGCAAGTCGGGTTGGTTGCATGCCCAAGGCAATGTTTTTTGTAGATTGAGATGGATTGATCTTCGCTATTGTGCCTCTTCCTTGTACCATTGATGCTGCGGCAGTGCCTAATATGAGTTTGCTCCTGTCCCAGACAGCTTCGAGGTTACCATCGATCGATTACAGAGGTTTCAACCACTGCTCCCCTTTGATCGAGTGCTATTTCTATAATAAAGATTGAATAGGAAAAACTTGAATTGGCTTCAATCGAGATTGCCTCCAGCTTCTTAGGCACATGAGGAAGCGGTCTAACATCTTTTCAATCGAAATCCCAATCAAAGACAAGTTCTACCAAGGCCGGGATCTGAAAGAGAAGAATAACTTTCGGAATTCCAAGTGACACCTTCAGAAGCTAAAGTTGAATGATCGAAGTCTCCTTCAGGTTCAGTCGAAGAGATCGAAGCGAAGTCATCAATTCAACCATTCGCATGGTCTCCCCTAAGACTGACCTCTTTTCCAAATGAACCGAACCTCGATCCACATTCATCAAAGAGAGACGGCCATCTCTCTAGGTTGCACACGCCCCTCATT